TCTTTAAAAAAACAAAACAAACCACCTCTTATTTCAAAGGGTACCATCAGAAATTGAGAGGATAACACACAGGATGGGAAAAAATTTTAAGTGGGCAAAGGATCTGGAGACCTTACCCTAGCAAAAACATGCAAATGATCAGATGCTTAACAAGCATCATTAGGTAGCAAGAAAATATTCATCAAAACCACGGTTAGCTACAACTTCACATCCACCCAAAAAACAAAACTCACCCTCACAGAGTGGGTCCGACTCACAGAGCGGACTGCTCCCGTGGGTTTCTACAGCTACAACGCTTCCCGGAGCAGAAGCCCCAGCGCTCCTCCCTGCAGCGGCTGGTGGGTTTGCAAGGCTGAGCTCCTCCACCAGGATACTCATAGTGCAAAAGGTGAAAAATAACAAGTGTTGGCAAGAACGTGATGAAATGGGACCTTCCTGCACTGCTGGATGGGGATACAAATGGTGTAGTTGCTTTAGAAAAGTGAGTTTAAACCCAGTTAACGAGAAGCTTAACCTTGTTACCATCTGACCCAGCTGTCTACACAAAAACATGCACACACATCTGCCGCAGTATTTTTCTTAATAGCCAAATAGTAGAAATCCCCCAAACGCCCATTAATGGATGGATAAACAAAATGTGGCCCCTTCATCCACAGAGTGGAGTATTACTCAGCCTTGAAAAGGGAAGAGTCTCCTGATATACATACTAGAACATGGACCTACTTGAAAAACGTCCATCTCACATGTCTATATATCATGTGACTCTACTGACATGAAATGACCAGCGCAGGCACGTCCAGAGACAGGAAGGAGAGCACTGGTTTCCAGGGGGCACAGGGGCAACAGGCAGTAACTGCAGATGGGCTCTGGTTTCTACTGGGGGTGGTGACGGATGCACAAATCTGTGTGTACTAAAAGCCAATGGACTGTATACTTTATTCAAAGAGATTCTTAAAGACGCTTTATTGGCATATATGTCACAAGACGGTAGAATTTAAGTTGGTGAATCGCATGGTGTATGAATTACATTTCAGTTGGCGCTGTCAGGTAAGCTTTGGACTGTGGGGGAGGTCAGATGAGCAGGCATTCCCCTCACTGAGGGCAATCAGTTGCCAGACTGCTGTCTCATCCCACCACAGGAGTGGGCCTGCTCCCTGCCTCTGGGGACAATGGAACGGCTCCTGTAGGAGGAGTTTTCACCCTACTGATAATGTTCCTATGGAAGACCCAGAGACCACCCCCTAGACCACCCACTCATTGCTGTGTAACCTATAGTGCTGCTCCTCCCTGTGATGTATGTCTCTACCTGTAATTAATGGGCTGGCATGCCCCCAAAAGGTATATAGGTGTGAGCCAGCAATATAGATCTCTCTCTCTGACTCTGAGCTCCTTGCTGCCCACTCCCTGGTTGCTCCCCTCTTCCTTGTTCCCTTCTCCTCCTTCCCTTCTCCCTCTCTCCACGTGGACCACCAAGCTGGGCTGAGGTGAGCAATGGTACCATGTAACATGCCTGACTGTATTATTGTATTACCTCTCATGCTCATGATGACTTTAATATAATGCTTATATATCTCAACAGTACAATTGTTGCATTACTGAATCCGAGTAGTAGTAATATTAGTAGCAGCGGGTGGGGGCTGGCACCCCACTCCTCCGTGCCAATTTTAATTTAATACTACATTGAACTACTAACCACAAGGTCAGTGGTTCAAACCCACCAGCAATTCTGCAGGAAAAAGATGAGGCTGTCTACTCCTGCAGATTTGCAACTTTAGGAGCTCTCCATAGGGGTGCTGTGCCGTGGAATCGGCTGATGGTGAAACTGTTGAAGAAATGCCAGCACAGAAACACACCCAGAAGGATACAACATGTTTCTATTTGGATGGTGGGTTCTAGGTGTCAACAATGTTGCCAATATAGATCATTTATCAAGCACCTGGGGCACTGTTGGGGAAACACTGAATTGCTAACCTCAAGTTTTGTGGTTTGACTCCACTGGCTGCTACACAGGAGAAAGATGAAGCTGTCTGATTACATAGCGATTTAGTGTCAAAAACCCTCTATCGGTGGTTCTCAGCCTTCCTCAGGCCTCCACCCTTTAATACAGTTCCTGATGGGGTGGTGACCCCCCCCAACCATAACATTATTTTCCTTGCTACTTCATAACGGTCATTTTGCTACTTTATGAATTGGCGGCCCCTGTGCAAGGGTCGCTGGACCCCCACTGGGGTGGTGACCCCCGGCTGAGAACGGCTGCTCTACAGGATCACTGAGTCAGAATCAAGTTCACGGCAGTGGGTCTCGATGGTGTCGACACAGAACAGGCCTTCACAGCTGATTCAGGTCACGTGTTCTCGGGGACACCAGCCTTCAGAAAGGTGGGGGGTGGGGATGTCTCTCCCCTAGGCCACAACCCCCTGGCTGTGTGATTTAGAGCCTAAATTTTCTCTCCTCCACTTCTATTTCTGTCACTGTCCCCATTACTAAGCAGAGTAGAAAGAAAGGCCTGGTGTTCTAGTGTTTAAAACTTCGACCCATGAAATCAGTACAGATCATGCAATGTTCTGATTCCATCGTGGCTGGAATCAGAGGGTCATCCCGTGTCAAGAGCTCACATCACATCACAAGACGCACTTGCTACGTAATTGCTTTTACAATACAAGAAGCCATGGACCTTCGTTAGGCTGTTCTATCAGCAATACGTACGGTTTGGGGAATAAAGACACCTCCCTGCGCTCCCCCCCAACACAGTCCTCGGGTGCCTGTGCTGCCCACCCACGGAAACAGCTTGGTGAAACCGCAGCTGAGGCCTCTGGAGACTTGGCAGCAGGTGGGTTTCTGCCCGTTGCCTCCTCCCCCGCGTTTCCCCTTATCTCCCTGTCCCACGTGGACAGCAATCCTTCCTGCGGGCCAGGCCTCTGAGCTGATACCTGCTCCTGAGCTGCACTGGGTACATTCGGCCTCCACCTGTTGTGGCCTTGTCAGACATGCCCCTACCTGTCCGTCTCCCAGTTAGCAGAGGCACAGGTGGGAGACCGAAGAGGTGGTGGCTAAGGGTGGGGGAGGAAATCTCCCCACCTGGCCTAGCCACCTATTGTTGCTGACCCCAGGGTGCTCCCCACCCCACTCGGCCCCTCGGCTTCTCCCTCGAGCATCTAACTCATTCTCGCAGTACACTCCCCATTTCTAACACCGAGGTGTCCCCTCTTCCTGGCCAGGCACTGCCCCACACTGGCAGCCTGCTCCCCTGGGAGCAGACAGGCATGAAGACAAGCATGAAGAATACTGCACACCAGCTCATCATAGCGCCACCCAGGTCAGTCCTTCCCCCAAGCATCTGCTCAGTAGTTTTAAAACAGAAAGATCGTGGACCGCCTAGAAGAGCAAAATAAGAGCTTTTCCCCACCATCCTCTCCAGACCACAGGTTCTGAAACGTTAACATCTTTTCAGGGAAAAATGTCCTCCGCTCCCGCCGGCCATGAAAACCTTTGGTAGGCTGGCCCCGAATCCAGGACATGGTGGAGGGGTCTGTTTGGGCGGCCCCCTGGATCACCCCACCCCCACTCCTGGCCCGTAGCACCCACTGGGAGGAACACGGCTCTAGATCCTCTCAGCACACGTTGTTGCTGGTGGCAACCAGAGGAAAATGAAATGCACTCACATACCAGCACGGACCCGAGGAAACTGGCGCGTGCTGCACAGCCTTGTCAAAGCCTAGATGGGATCTGACGGTGCCCCCGTCTCCAGCCTGCCTTTCCCTCCGGGACGGTCTCGACAGCCACCCACCGTTTCGCACGGCTCTCGGCCCACATTTTACTGTGAACTGGCTTATGGAGAGCCAGCTGTCCAGTCAGTCGCTCTTACGAATCCCCTTCCAGCTCCTCTAAGCCGCCGTCACCACCCCACCTCTGCTGAACATTTCTGGTTGCCTTGCCTCCTCCTGTCCTTTGTCCGTGGGGAAGTCCTGTCCTTCGTGTCTCCAGTGGTTGAGGACGCGTAGGTAGGCATACCTCCCTGACACCTGACAGAATTAGTCTCCTAGATTGGTGTACTGTTTGGAGGAACACTGAGCCAGGAGCCATGGGGGTGTGCTCCGTTTCAGATCTGATGGATGACTGGGGACCATCGTGTGTGTGTGTGTGTGTGTGTGTGTGTGTGTGTGTGTGTGTATGTGTGTGTGTGTGTGTGTGTGTGTGTGTCTTTCTCTCTCAGGGGTGGGGTTCCAGCCGTCTCAGCCTGGTTCTGTTGGGGGGTGGGGGTGGTTTTGATCATGCACTGGGTCCCACCGCTCTCTCTCACTCGACTCTGTACCTCCACCCTTGCAGCGGCCGCCTGGGGTCCAGCGTCCCCACCAACAGACATTTCTCTGCAGGGTGTTTTTAATGTGCGGGCTTTTACAAAATATTAAAAAGCAATGCTTCCATCAACATCACAGGGCATGCATGTTGGTCCACTTTTATGAAAATAGGCTATTTTACCTTTTCCTCTTAAATGATAAATAAGCCGAGGATAAAAAGCGGGAGGGAAAGTAGAAAGGGCAACATGGGAAGACCGGCAGCCCTATCAACGACGGACAGAAGTCCATTTCCTCCCAGAAACCCCATGTCCCTGACACAGTTGAGATGCGGTATGAGCATGATAATGGCTTGTTACTTGGTCCCGGTTTGCCTTCCAAAGGACTTAGGCTAATTAATTGGGACTAAATGACGTCTCATGAATAAAGAATAAAGAGTAACCATTCATAATGATAGCCTGTGTTCTGTGAGTAATTACTAGCAGCAGCGTGTCCCATGAATTACTTCATTCACTTCACCGGGGTGATGCTCTTGCAAAGGGGATGAGTGAGCGGCCTGACCCTGGGGGAAACTGCCAGTTGGGCTGCCCCTGTCCACGCTGTGGTCCTTCTCCCAAGCCGCGCGGGGAGGGGAAGCAGGGACCACGGCCTACCTCAGACGGCACCTCTGAAGTCGGCTCCGGGTGATGGAGGCTGTCCCCCGGCATGGGGGTGCTGGTGCTCGCCCCTCTCTGTCCCACACTCAGCGCCTGCTCCCACTTCTGCAGCGCCTCTTCGAAGAGCTCCATGCCTGAGTGCAGGCAGGGGAGCAGGGGTCAGGTTGCTGGGCGGCGGGGGGAGAGGAGGCAGGAGGCCCCGGAAGGACAACCGCCTGGCAGGACCCCCATCCCAGGGTTAATTGTCTATAGGCCTCATTCACGCCGATCCAACTGGTTCCTGGAAAGTGCCCCCTGCCCACAAGTGGCTGGGAACCAGTGACCGGCCGGGGGGTAGAGCCAGGGCAGCATTCCAAGTGTCCTGAGCCTGGCCTGGGCACCATCCCACTCCCACCAGCGGGGAAGTACGGAGGCCTTACCTTGCATGTAGAGGCTCTCGGCGCTGCCGTCACTGGCTGCCATAGACTCCTCCATCCCTCGGGCATCCCAAGGTCCCGAGCAGGCGGCCATGGGGCTGGATGAGTTCACCGCCACCATCTGGGTGCCAAGCAGCGCACGGGCCCAAGGGCAGGGAGTGAGGCCTCTTGGGGTCCCTTGAGCATTCCCCGTGTCCTCTCTCCAAACATCACCTCTCAAACTGCCTAGACCCCGGGCCTGGCAAGTCCCCAACTCACCACACCCCAGGATGCCTCCCAGAAGCTGTCTAGGTGGGAAGAGGTGCCAAGCAGGAACCAACACCTCTGGTAAGTCCTGTCCTGAACCCAGCACCCACCCACCCACCTGGTACTATCCTCCTGCTGTTCCAGAGCTCCTCTACCGTACCGGTCTGACAGGCAGGGCATGAGGGCCGCCACCCTCACCACGCACACCACCACCCCCTCACCCCGACGCTGTGGGCTCCTCCAGGAGAACCAGCCCTCGCCCACCCCCCGACCCCAGGGCAGTGCCTTGGCTCAGGGCTGGGGCTCAGGACTTGCCGAGTGAATGCCCAAGGGAATGAAGGGACAGGCCAAAAGGCGGCCCCAGGAGAAAGTACGCTCCTCTTGATCTTATCTGCCTCCAGAGCCCTGGTGCCCAGCCGAGCCCCTGGCACAAAGCAAGAGGCTTGCTCGGGTCTGGTGAAGGTGTGAATGACTCGATGAGTGAGTGAGTGAACGAATGAACTCTCGGAGCTGTGTTGCTTCCCCGGGAGACCACACACTTCTCTTCTGCGTCCTTGCTGCCGTCTCTCAGGTGAGCAATACAGACCAGATGGGCGGGGGGAGCCTCCACGAGGGGAGGAACAGGCAGGGGCATGGATGGAAGGGCGAACCAACCAATGAAACCTCTCCACCAGCTTCCTGAGGGCGGGCAGGCACCCTAAGCCCAGGGCCTTACCGAGGCCAGGCTGTGGGAGGAGCCTGAGTGCTTGCTGGGCTCGATGGAGGAAATGCCACTGAGCGTGTCATTGCTCTTGCTACTGGGGCTCTGGACCCTCCGGCTGGAGTAGCCTGTGAGGAGGAGAGCAGGGGTCACGGCAGGCTGCCACCCAGCCTGTGCACACACCAGCCCCCCCATTTGGACTCCCTGTCGTGCCCCAATTCCGACCCACAAGTCAGGGTGAGGTCAGAACACCTCAGCATCGTGGGTCTGAGAGCTGGGTCCCTGCTTGGGCTCCTGCTCACCAACACCCACACACCCCGCCCATCCCCAGCACAGAGCGCTGAGAAGGTGGTTTGGCTACTTTCCCTCGTTAGATCTCTCTTGTTCCCAAAGGGAGCTGAAGCCACTTCTCTTATAGACACCGGCAACCCTCGTCAAAGCGTTAGAGGGGAGGGACGAACGAGAAAGAGAGGGGCACCAGGCGGTGGGGGCGGGAACTCCCTGTACACAAGCTCTGGGTCTGGGTCTGCTTTTGCCTCGGGCATGTTCTCGCCTAGCTACCCAGTCACTGAGTTCATTCTGAGACTGACAATCCTTCGGGAAGCCTCGTCTTTCTCCCATGGAGCACCTGGTGGGTTTGAACTGCTGACCCTGTGTTAAACAACTCAACATTAACCGGAAACAACAGACCCTGGTTGTTTCCTTGGTAAAGACGTAGTTTCCCTTTGCCGGTGATCCTTCACAATTAAAATTCACTTCTGGGGAGACTCCTTGCCTTGGGGAGACCCAGGTGACTTGCATGACACAGCCAACGCTGGGCTCCTGGGTTACAAATAACCACAGACTATAAGGGGTTCTCACTTCAAAAAAATAATAAAGTGAGACAAGTCTAAATCTAAATCAATCCATCTCCAGAGATCTATATATATTACTGGGGGGAAAAAAACCCCAACAACTTAAAGAAGAGAGAAGACAATGTTGCCTCACACCATAGGTTTCTCTGTTCCTGAGCTCTTTCACATATTTAGGAATAAATCCTCAGGTTGGCGGGGAGGGGGCAGAACGAAATCAGTCTAATCTGGATATCTTGAGCTTCAATTCTAAAATTAATTCTTTTTTTAAAAAAGAGGGAACAAATAAACCAGGCCACCAGTCATAAAACAGACCAGGGGCTGGGAGTGGGAGACAGGGGTTGACCACAAAGGAACAGGAGGTATCTGTAGGGGAAAGAATTGTTCTCAGTTGATGGTAGGTGTTTGTCAAAACTCATAGAACTTCATGCTAAAAAAAGGCAACTCTTAATGTACATAAATTAACCCCCTGGTTCTTATAATACATATTTTTAATTAACATATTTTCTTTCTTTTTTGACCTGATTTCTAAATCTATGGTATGGTTCAGATAATACACAGTCCTTCTGGCTCCTGACCTGGGGAGACCTCTCTCAGGTCTGCCTCCCTGCCCCCAAAGGTCCTCCAGCCTCCTCTGGGCCCAGGTGTCCACAAAGGGGTACTCAGACAAGGAGCTTAACCAGAACAATGTCCACTGACTGGGCGCATCGCCCACCAAATCCTCACGGTGACTCCAGGAAGGAGCTGCCCCACATCACAGACACCGAGAACTTACCTCCAAGAGGGGAAGTCATTAGCTGACCTGGGACTTGAACCCGGCCCGGCCCTTCCCCAGCACCACACACCCACCTTTCTTCAAGGAGGCCTTCCTGGCCATCAGGATGGGAAGGGGCACTGTGCCCAGCTGATCGCCTCCCAGTCCAGGGCCACCCTGCTTCTTCCTCCGCCGGCGCCTTTTCAGCTGATGGGCAGCCAGGGCCAAGGCCACGGTCCCCAGGGCGGTGGCAAAGAGGACCTTCCGCAGGCCGGGTGTCAGCCGCAGCTGTGAGAATGCTGACTGTGGGGAGAGAGGGAGGAGCCGGGTTAGGCCAGAGGCAGGGGAGCTGCCTGGAGAGCTGCAATTGGACAGCGAGCAGGCACCCCAGGCCTGTGCACTTTGTGCGGAATCCTTGAGGGGTCGAGACCAGCCGCTTGGAATTGCAGACCACAGAGTTCTAACGAGGGGACCTTCAGCACAGCAAAATGACAAGGGCAAGGAGACCATAGCTGGGGTGCAGCAGGCCCCCCACCCCAACAAGCCAGCAGAATGGACTGCGTGCCTGCTGCTCTAGACTACACATCCCTGACTGCTGGACTCAAAACTGAGGCTCACAGAGGTGACAGTAAGAAAAGATGCCCTGAGAAATACAACTTTCCTCTAGTTCCTAAATGTTTCCTCCCCGCTCCCACTACCATGACTCGAATTCGATCTTGCAAGTCTGGCTAGACCAGAGGAGGTACACTGGTACAGATAGGAACTGAAAATACAGGGAATCCAGGACGGATGAGCCCTATAGGACCAGTGGTGTAAGTGGCAAAACAGGGAGGGTAAAGGGAGAATGGGTAGGAAAGAGGGAACCGATTACATGGAACTGTGTGTGACCTCCTCCCTGGGGGACAGACAACCGAAAAGTGGGTGAAGGGAGACGTCGGACAGGGGAAGATATGAGAAAATACCCATTTATAAACTATCAAGGGCACATGCGGGAGGGGGGAGAGGGGAGGGAGGGGAAAAATGAGGACCTAATGTCGGGGGTTTAAATGGAGAGAAAATGTTTTGAGAAACGATGTACAAATGCGCTTTACACAATTGATGTGTGTATGGATTGGGATAACAGTTGTATGAGCCCCTAATAAAATGCTAAAAAAATAAATAAATAAATAAAATACTAGGGGGGGAAAAAAAAAAGTCAGAACCAAAAAAAAAAAAGAAAAGAAAAGATGCCCAATGCAAATCTGCCAGAGCCCAGCGCCTTAATGACCTCACCAAGTCAACGTTACTCCCTCCAGCCTGGTGGTTCCGCCTCATCTTCTGCCCAGTGGGCTGGGGACACTGAGCTGCCCCGGTGGCTACTCAGAGAAGCATCCAGAGGCCAGGCCCGTTACACACGTTTGCAGTTGAGGCAAGTTTATAGATTAAGAGACCGAAGGAGAGACATGACATAGTCTCAGGGTGGAGAGTGGGCGTGGGGCCCCTGACTCCTGGCCGGGCCTCATCCCCTGCCCGCTCAAAGAGGCCAGGTGTATAGCACAGCAATAACAAGGATAAGCTTTCTCAGACACCGAGGCCCCGACGGGTGGTACAGGGCTTCCCGGACCAAGCCTTACCTGCCCAAACGTCGTGTACAGGAACACAGGGATCTCAGCCACCGTCATGGCCAGGGCCTGGATCATGGACATGCCCTCGGTCCTCTGGAACGCCATGGCAGGCCCGTGCCCAGGCAGGAGCCCACAGGGCCAAGGGCTTCTTCCCAAGAGCAGATCTTCAGCTGGCTGCTGGCTGGGTGCCAAGCACTGTCCACAACCCAGAAGGACAGGAACGCACAGCCCACAGGGTCCCGCCACAGAGCTGGAGGGAGGGGGACACGAGGCCACGTCAGACCCAAGGAGGCGTGTACCCAAGTACCCACATAGGGTGCCAGGGAGAGGAAGTGTGAGCAGAGCCCTCCCCTGGAATCAGGCCCCAGTCCTCCCACAACCACCAGCAGGGAGGCAGCCAAATGCCCCGTGGGCCATCCGCCCACCATAAGCCCTGGGAGAGAAAGGCAGTGTTCTGAGGTGCTGGCCCAAGAGAGGAGCCAGGGCCTGAATGGATGGGCCACTTGCAAACTTGAGACTCTTGACCACACTTTCACAGTCTTTTAAACCCATGGCCCTTGAACTGAACAAAACTCGCATGCCCCCAAAGAGTGAGGCGACTGATGGGGGTCTCCCTACTAGATCCACTGACCCTCCCACGGAGCCAGGAGGGATCTGCCCCTAGAGACTGCAATCGATCTGCTATTTCACTGAGCCATTACAACTCAGCGGAGCATGCCAGAAGAAGCCAGCTCCTAGCACAATCACTACGGGTTTGGTAGGCGCAATTGTACAGCGATAATAAGTAAATATTATAGTAAAGTTATAGAGAGCATGAGAGATAAAAGAGATATATAGAAATAAATGGAGTCAGACGCATATTATGGTAGCATGCTCACCTCAGCCCCGCTTGGTGGTCCACATGAAGGGAGTGAGTGAGAGAGAACTTTAATGCTCCCCAAGCTTTTATACTCTCTGGGGACATTGGGGACGTGCAAGCCCCCACATCACAGGTGAAGACATACGTCACAGGAAAGGGTTGTGCTACAGGTATTACAGTGATGGGAGGGGGTGATCTAGGGACATATGCACTACAGAAGGAGGAGGGATTGGGGGTGTACATGAGGCAAGATGGGCAGACCCTAGATTTCTGGTAGCAGCTTAACTAGACTTTGGGTCTCCATAGGAACCATTATCAGTTGGGTGTGAACTCCGCCCACAGGAGCACATGCCACCTCTCCTCCAACCGTGTCAACTGTCAACGAGGAAACTGAGGCTCTGAGGCGCAAAGTCGGAACCCGTGGTCACAGAGCTGGTCTGTGGCGGAGTCAGGATCTGAACGGAGATCTACGAGACTTCAGGCTCTGTGGTCGACCCAACTTTCGTTAAATGTGACAAAGAGTAAGGAGGGCCACAGAACCCCAACCAGTAGAGGCAGCTTTCCCCTGGGGCCCTCAGAGACCCCCCAGCTCCTCCAAGGTGCCACCTCAAGGCCAGGGGATAGGTGACCCAGTCCCCAAACCCTCTAGGGCACCCCTCAATGACCACCACGAGCCCTAGGGTGCTTTCAGGGCCTCCTGGGACCTCAAGCAGAAGAAGCACACAGGCCAGGACAGACCCTGTCTGTCTACCTGGGCTGGCGGCCAAAGTGACTGGGCCAGCCCAAGATAAGTCTTCTACCCAGTAAGTGCGAAGGATGGCCAATCCCATCTGCCTAACTCTAGGACTGGGGTGAGGGTGGGATAATGACCTAGGACCAGGGTGGGATACTGTCCTAGGACCTAGGACAAGGGTAGGAGACATGCTGCAGGAGACCGCTGATTGAGCCACGTGACCGCGGTGGTCAGGGCTCAGGTTCATATCGGAAACATCCCCCCTCGGCCCCCTTGGCCTTTCCCAGGCCTTAGAGCAGAAGGCAGGCAAGAACATTGGAGAATCAGCAGCTACTTACTATAGGCCAGGCTTGGAGCAGGCTCTCCCTCCACAAGGGCTTGCTTGTCCGCAGAACCCTCCCAATATTTACTGTTTGTCTCAACAATGGGGACATTAAGGATGAGAGGTGAGCAACCTGACCAAGGTCACTGGGTAAATGGTCAAGCTGGGGTGGGACTCCAGCTCCGGAGCATGGAAAAGCTGTAGCAAAATTTGCCCTGTCCTGCCTGCTACAATTTGCTGCCCTCCCCGCACCCTCCCCTCAACCATGTCCCATGCTCCCAGGTGAGGGGGCCACAGATGAACCTGAGACCACAGGACACTAAGGGCCCCTTCTGATGAATAGTAGAGAGGCAGGTGCAGAGTCTCAACACTGCCTGTTTCAGTCTCGGGATGACCCCGGATTCAGGCTTTCTTGTCTCCAGGATGACAAATCGAGGGCAAAGGGCCCCTCCACGTGGGTGGCAGGCGCTAATGCTAACTCTGTGTACAGCCTGGTCACCTCTCCTGCCCTAGAACCTGAGGCAGTCACGTGCTCCCTCCACCCATCCAAAGCACTTACAACCCTTTCTGCCCCGACACACCAAAGCTTTCCTTCTCAGGTGTCACCTCCCAGCCCTGGGCTCCAAGTGTGTGGCCTGAGTACCTCCTCATCTGCCTTGGCCTCGGCCATGTCTCTGGCAGTGCACCTTCAGCACCTGGCCGAAATGGGTATTGGGCACCTCTCCTGGATGCCAACCCGCACCACAGCAATAAATAAATCTCACGGAACGTGCTTATTCCATCTCGGACATCTCCTTGCGCAGCCCCCGAGCTGGCCAACTCTTCTTTGCCCCATCTCTGGAATATCATCCAGGCACCCTCTGGCGCCGCCCACTGCCCACACACCTACTTCATCCAGCCTGGGAACTTTCTCAGTCCCGGCGCAGGTACCTCCGGCCCCGATGCGACCCACGCAACGTTCCAGGCCCGAGCATCCCCTTCCAGGTACCTCCTCGTTCCACCCCCGGCCAGGACACCCTCTCGCGCCGCGCTCGGCCCTGCTCATGCCAAGCCGGACACCTTCTCAGTCCGAA